TATATACATGCCCCGATCTTGAGACAATCGCATTTGCATTGAACATAAGACACCCCAAGGCAACATATCACATATCATCCTACTGAGCTCAATAGGGCGTGGGGGATAGTGGCACCCAAGAGAGATCTGTGGGGAGCCATTTATTTAACACTGACCTTTGCTTGATTCGCATGTTGCCCACCCTTGGCCAATCAGCTTGAGTCCTTTCTTTTGGACCTTTGATGAACAGCAAACTCATGTATAAGTTACATTACGGACTATATATCTATATAGGGCATCCAATTTGCAGTATTGAACAGCTATACTCCTCCCCAATACTACATTCAACCAAACTATATTTATTTAAACTATTGTTATAACTTCCTCCAACCGCGATATGGCTTGGCTGGCCGGACATCAGGTCTGGAGGTGATAGCTTCGAAGTGCAAGATCAGCTCATCGACGTGAAACACATCGAGGCGTCCGAGGGCGCCTTTGCCGCCCTTTTGGCTGATGCATCCGTGGTTTCTTGGGGCGATGCAGAGTTCGGCGGCGACAGCAGTGGTGTGGCTCGGGCGGAAGAGGGGCTGGGATGGGGCGTGTGAAGAGGACCTGCAAACAAATATTTTGAAGTTTTCAAGATCCTGCAAGCACTAAGACCAACCAGTCATGCGGGCCATGTTTATCCACCCATACCGACATCACATGGAGCTATTCAGCTAGATGATTGGGATTGCTTGGTCCTTCTGTTGACAAAGCAAACGTCTGTGCAAAAGAAAGTTGAGTTCGAGATACCCTCGTGGAGATTAACGTGGACCCCCCCAAATCCACTGTGTAAGGATCTTCCATGGAACAATTTTTAGGGTCGTTTTTAGCCTGCGGAAGGGTAGTTGATGGATTTTGTGAGATTCTGTTCCTAGGGCTTTTGCTACTGGTACTCACTAAGATGGAAGTGGAACTCTTGCGCGAAGGACTAGTCTTCCAAGGGACCATGCCATCCACTTCCTGCTTGGTTTCTGTGTTCAGAGTCCAGAGTGCTGGATTCGAATCTACTTCCACCTACCCCTCCTTACTGACACAGAGTGCTTCCCTAAGGATACCTTCTCAGGTTCGGTACGACTGGACCCTCAAAACCTACATGAGAGTGTCGAACACATCACCGTACCTGAGGTTCGGTACGACTGGATCCCTAGGGCTTGAGAGTCCAAGGTTCAACGAATCATCGTTTTGTTTGTCCTTGGTCAGCTTCCCTGCGCGGGTGCCCCCCCGTCCTTGTTTTCGTCCTTGGCCAATCCGTTTCTTTGAGGTTCTTCATCAATTGATCGGTGTCAAAGAGATCAAGGCATCAGAGTCCTGGTGTGACGAAGTGTCTAGTTTCTTCAATATGACTCCAAGGTTTTTCGGCCGCCCCACCCTTCTTCCCAGTTTGGAAGAGTCGCCAACTGAAGTTCGCCGCAGTTTGGGTGTTTTAAGTTTCTTGATTTCTGGAATGTCTCCGAATCTGAGTGGTGATCTGGAGATCCTTCCCCGGAAGTGGATTCAGGATGTTTTTTGTTTAGGTCTTGGACGTTCGCGGCCATCCCAGGATTATAGTTTCGCGGCCATCCTGGCGAATGGATCTCTAGTGAGCTGGGGAAATGAGCAGAATCTTTGCTGATGGCTTGAATCCTTCTTTTTCTGGTCACAATGCTGGCATCGTGAGCGAGATGAGATATTATCTTCGATTTCTGGTAGAATTACAAGTATTTCCTCACAAGGTATTTAATCTAGATCCTCCTCGTGGCACGCATCCCGGACACCTTCTTAGAAGGCACTTGGAGTTCTAGGGTGTGCCCAAAAATTCCCAAAGAATCAGGGGATCGACCTGTCCAGGTGGCAGGTTCAATCCCCACCCCTGCAGTGGCTAGGGGATGAGCGGGCTGGGTGGGGTGCGGACCGTTAAAACATGTTAAACAACAACAACAACAACAACAACAACAACAACAACAACAACAAC